CTTCACAGCAACCCTGATATTTGCATTCCATAGATTCATGTTCAAATAGCTTTAATTTGACTGAGATCCCATAACTAATAAGTAAGCAAAGCCTGAGGTTGGAACCCAGCTTGAGATACCGTGTCTGCTTATATTTTCAGATCAATGAGGAAACTGAGGCTTAAGAAGGCAAAGTGGCTTATCCCAGGTTGTACTAGAGAGCGGCTGAGCTCAGCCTAGAACCCAGGCTTCCCCATGGCTAGCTTTGGGCTCTCGATGGCAGAGGAGATGTGAAATGAAGAGTCAGGACATCGAGGACAAGGGAGGCTAGCCCTGGTGGGAAGACCCTGGAAGCAAATGTGCCTCACTTCCAGGCAGAGTGAATGGTAAGGGCGAACGCGTCCTAAATGGTATTTATTTGAGGCTCTGCAGGCTGAGTTGGTATGTCCCTGAGGCCTGATTCCCTCCCGACTTGTTGCTGGGGTCAGGGAAACTTGGCCTCCTCCCAGTAGGGGTAGGGTATGGCATTTGCAGCTCTTTTGTTTTTTCTTCACACTTATCTCACTGGCTGTGTTTGCAGTTTCTGCTTCCAGGGGCCCTGGAAGAATGAACGTGTTGGGCTGAGACTAGCTCTGGGGTGAGGGGTGTAGGAAAAGACAGAGCTTGCGGATCTCAGTTTTCCAGAAGTAAAGGTTTAGCATGTGGGAGCTCAGGAATGTACTTGGAAATGTTTCCAATTTATTTTTATTGCAAAGCAATATCTAATGAAAATGTGGGAAAAGACCCAGGAGCCTGCAACTAATAAATCACCTGCTTTCATTTTCTGCATCCCCTTTTAATCTTTGTCCTTACATAAGCGATTTTATATGATTGTAACTGTAATGTAGATTCATTATGTATATACAATTCTGTGTCCCACTTTTAAAATTTATCATTATATTATAAAAGCTTTCATTCTTCATAATTATCATTTTAAACAGTTATGTGATATTTCTTTGGGTGGATGAACCATGTTTTCCTTAACTATTCCTCTGTTTTTGGGGCATTTAGATTGTTTCTAGCTTTTTACTATTATAGACAATGACATAATAATAACTTTTCTTTAACAAAGAAAATAGTTTCCTAAGATAAATTCTCAGGAGCTTCGATCCTGGATTAAAGAGAGAATTTTTAAAAATCGACTTTTGGAAATAATGATGAAATCCCTTAAAAGTGACTTCCCTGGGCATTGTTTTTATAACCAGTGAACTGGCAGTGGGGGCTGGGCACTGCGTCTAGGGCCTCAGCGAGAAGCCACTTCCTACAGACCAAAGCTGGTGAGTGTGCTCAGGAAATGGACCAGTGCCCAGGTCTCTCCCACCTCCGGTTTTCCTGCTGCTGTGACGGGGGTTCGGCTTGCTCACCACCTATCCTGTCTCCCTCCCAGACACCTGAGGAAGCTTGTTGCTGCATGAGTGGAGCATCTCGAGTTCAGATGCTTCACCTCGCTCACTCATTCCACAGTGGAGACCCCAGAGAGGAGGTTGCGGTTATGTCATTTATCTTTCAGCCCCATTAAGGTTGGCTTTGAAGATTGACATCTTTTTTTCTCCCTTCTTCCCAGAAGTTGTTCCTGTTGACGTGTGGCTCCTCCTGATTCCCAGACTCCTCGAGGTTTTATGAGTCTAGCAGGTGAAATTCTCTACCTCTAAGGAGAAGCAGTATCTGCCCCTCCATCACGCCAAGCCCTCCATTGCTATGGATACCGAATCTACATATTCTGGATATTCTTACTACTCAAGTCATTCGAAAAAATCTCACAGACAAGGGTATGTAAACTATTCATTATTCCCCTTTTCCTTTTGGGAAAAGCTGCAGGTTGGTGGGGACTTCTAGCTTCTTTTCAAACAATGACTCAAGTGCTGGAGGTTCAGCCCATTGGCGTGTGAGAAGCTGAGCTTTTAAGAGTGTTTAACATGCTTGAGAGTAACTACACTAGCAATTTATATTTTATAGCCACCATTAGAGTTGATGACCTTAATTTCTCACAATTAATTTTAAATTAAAGTTTCTCCCTGCAGTGGAAATGTTTTTTATTTGTAAGCACTTCTCATAGATGTCAGTTCTCTCAGAGTTTTACCAAGAATGTAAATGAAAGTTTTAAAAAAGTGTTCATTTGTTGTTTCTTTTCCTCCATAGTTGTTGACTCATTGTCCATTATGCCTTTGCCTTGAGGCTTATACACTGAGCTGGTGGGCTTGGCCTGGTGCCTTATTTCTCTTTGACTAGTCTTTAAGTGAACAAGCCTTGGTTTTGAACATGCTGTCCTGGGTGATGGGGGCAAATTCTCCCTCCTCTGCAAAATGAACAGGTCTGCACTGGTATTTTCTTAGGGCCTGCTGTGTTACTGACCTGTGGAATGTTTGCTGAGTAGAGGAGGGATTGAATAAAGAAATTAATGAATAAATAGGTGGTAGTGTACTGGTTAGGAATGCAGTTGGTAAAATTGTAGTGCTGCCACTTACCTAGCCTCCTCATCTATGAAATGGGTACGGCAGTCCCCTCCTTACAGGGCTGCTGAGAAGATTAAATGAGCTTATGCATGTAAAGCAGGTAACACAGCATGAGTAGGTCACTAACCAGTGGCTGTATTAAGGCCTTAGCATTCATTATAGGCCTTAGCATTTCAGCTCCATGTTCTAAGGGACCAACTGGCCCCAGCCTAGTGCCCACCTTTGATCACAGCTCTGCATTGGTTGGGAACAGTGATGTTAGAGGTATTT